GGTGGTGGCGGCGGCGGCGGCAGCGGGAGCAGTGGCAGCGGCAGTTGTGAGGGGTTTCTAGGAAGATGGTGGTGATTAAAGAATTGTGAGTGCGTCAGTGGGCGCGGGCGGGAATGTGAAACGACGGTGGCAGAAGATTCACTGGCTGGAAAGTGGCAGAATGTTCCTAAAACCAAGTGAGCCCGGGGCCGGTGGCGGCGAGCACCCCGGGCCGCTCTAGGACCCCTCGCGTCGTGTCCACCTTCAGGGCCGCCGGGGGACCGAGCCGGAAACCCAGACGGCGGGGCGCGGTGGTCCGACCGATCTGCAATCTCGGGTGGAACCTCTGGTCCCGCGGGAGATGGGATTGCCTGGTGAAGGCAACTCGTGTAGGGATGTTGGCGCCCTAAAGTTCCAGCTGGAGCCGGGACCCCGCGGTACCCGCGCTTCCCCAGGGTCCACCTTCAGGGCCGCCGGGGGACCGAGCCGGAAACCCAGACGGCGGGGCGCGGTGGTCCGACCGATCTGCAATCTCGGGTGGAACCTCTGGTCCCGCGGGAGATGGGATTGCCTGGTGAAGGCAACTCGTGTAGGGATGTTGGCGCCCTAAAGTTCCAGCTGGAGCCGGGACCCCGCGGTACCCGCGCTTCCCCAGGATGCTCAATTGGTTTGACAGGAGAGCCGTCTCCCTGCCCAGAATCTCAGTTCCCGCATCTTTAAGGTGAGGCGACATTCGGGGCCCTAACGGGTTCACAGGGTTGCGGTGAGGTGCTGGACACTTGGACGACAGGGCAAAGTAATTTTCTTGAGGCTTTTCCCGTCACAGGACGTCAGTGTCGCACCTGGATACACAAGACGTCACACCTGATTCCTGTCCTCAGTATCTCTTGGGTAACTAGGGTTTTTTAGTATAGCCCGTTCTTTTTTTTCCTTCTTTTTCCGCCCCAAGTTCTTTCTCATTTTAAATTCTTAAATATTTCTTTGGCCTAATTTAGCTGTCTCCAGACACCTTATTTTCATTGATTTTGTTTAAGACAGGGTCTTCATTATGTAGCCCAGGCTGGCCTGGAACTCTGGGCAATCCTGCCTCAGCCTCCCAGGCACTGGGATTAGAGGCGTGCACCACCAAGCCTGGCCAGACTCCTTAGTTTTGGTGTGTTAAATCCTTTTTATCTATTGTAGCCAGGCGTGGTGGGCACTCCTATAATCTCAGCGAGACAGGAGGATGGCAAATTCAAGCCCTGACTGGGCAATTTAGAGATTTAGCCAAAAAAAGAAAAGCCATTCAAGCCTTTTTGTTTTAAAACTACCTGCAGAACCTTACATAATTTTTTCCTATTCTGATCTCATTTACTACTTTTCCTTTTCCCACTCAAGCCTGACTTTTTTATTTTAGTTTTTTTTTTTTTTTTTTTTTTTTTTTTTTACTGATCCTCCACTACTCTACAAATATGTAAGCTCAGTTTAGGGCCTTTGAGTGTTTTTGTTCTGTCTGAGGTGCTGTTTTTCAGATCACCAACTCTGCTCTTTCCAGGTTTATGCTCTTGCTTCACCTTCTCAGAGAATTTCTCTTCTTCTAGCTGTAGTCTACTACATGTAAGCTCTGTGAATTTGCCCATGTTGCTCATTCTTCAGTTTTTCACTTTCAGAGTAGTCCTTTGCACATAAACATTAGTTAGATAAATTGATGAAAAATTATAGCATTTGTCAGTGACAGATCCTGGGAAAAGACATGTTTTTGCCTTTTGCTGTAAAGTTGTGTAATTAAAGCTTGTTTATAGTACTCAACTTTGGCTTTCTATAAATGTTTTCTTCCAAATCTTTTATAAGAATGTATCATGCAGGTATCATTTATTGCTCTGATGCTTGTCTTGTGTATATAGTGGCAGATACTAAGACTAATGGAGGAGTTAAGACTGGTGGAAATGAACTTGGTCCAAACCACATAGCCAGAATTAGGAGAACTGATTTTTTGACTAGATATCTGGACTTTTTTGAGCTAATTTTTTCCCTCCAAAAACATGAATTACGTGTTCAACAGGTACCTTTGTCTGCTTTTTAGTAGTATCAAGCTAACTGATGGAAAACAGTACCCACTGGGAATTTGCACACTATGCCTTTTGCAAACCTTTACCTTCATTATGTACATTTAAGGTAACGAATGAGGTAACAAACGTTGAGGTATGTCCAAAGTCTAATTTTTCTTAAGGGTGGTGCATTGTTTCTTGATATTTATTCCTTTTGTGTCTCTCTGTTACATTTTTTTTTCTAGACTTTTTTTTCAAGTGGAAGCTGTTTTGTTTTTTTTTTTTTTTCTGAGAAGACAGGGTCTTACTGTGTAGTTGAGACTGACCTGGAACTCACTGTGTAGCCCAGCTGGTCTCGAACTCACAGCAATCCTCCTGTCTCAGCCTCCCGAGTGCTGGGATTAAAGGCGTGTGCCACCTATAGTCATTCCTATATGAAGATACTGGTAAACCAAAAAACCTTGGCAAACACTTGTTTTATTAAATTCCATCCATTTTTTAATTTAAAGGTTAAAAAGTGAGAGTAGGTAAATTCCTTTTCTTACTTAGGCAGTACATGAATTAGTATTGAGGACTTTGTAGCTGGTTCCATTTGGAAAGATTTTAATAAGGTTTTTCACAGCATATTGTAAATTTTCACATGACTCCTTTGAAAGGTGAATATTGCTTTTAGCTTAATAATGGAAAATAACCTATTCCTTTTCTACTTACTTTTCACTAAGCAAATCTTGAAGTTATTTGACTCATCTTCCTCATTGTCTAGTCACTTTCCTTTTGCGAAAGAAGTTTCTCTGAAAGTGTTATTAAACAAACATGGGGATCTTTCTGCTAGTGAGCATTTGATAAATTCTCAACTGTGATTCTTTGGTTTTGTGAAACTTGAGGGAAAACTTTTTTCTACTTCCTTCCTCTCTACAGTTTCACATTTTGGGTGGGGCCTTTATTAATAATCCTTGAAGAGCTTCCCAAAAGACTTCTTATTCTCCTCAGCGTTTCTGACCATCTACACATGTGTTCTTTAGGTCAGTTGAAGTTGTCACTTAGCTCTTGGAACAAACTTTCTAATTAATAAATTTCTTACTATTGTTTTCAAGTCCTGAAAATGTGTCCCAACCTGTATCGTTCTAGTGTTTCCTTTGTCTCAGTTTATGTCTCCTTTACTAAGACAGTGAGCAAAACTGCTCTGAGGGGACAGCTAAAATGATCAGGAATTTTTAGCTCTGGAGGGACAGCAAACTTGTTTTTTATGAGCATAGATATTATTAACTATGTGTTTTGGGGACTATTTGTCATTTTAGGAGAACATTCAGGCATAGATATTTGAGAATAAAAGGAGAAAGGTGAAAAGTGTAGCTGAAATGTAAACTAAATGTAATGTTTTGGGTTAACTTGCTTCATATTTTTGTACAGAAAATTAACTAAGATTGTCTACATTGAAAAGATTCTTGGTAATACGAACAATAAGCTAAATATCTCTTACTTTAGAGAAAAGTAAAAGAGAGAGGGCAGCTGAAGAAAAGAGAAATTGGAATGAATAAAACCATTGGGAATACCCGGTACCAAAAAGGAAAAGGGATTTTCTACAAAATGAGCGCTGAGATGACTGTGAGGTGGTTCCCTCCTAAAAGGCTGAGGAGGACGGGGTGTGGGGTTTGCTGTCTTGGAAGCCAACTATTATGAGATCGTTGCTACATAGTTTTGTTTTGTTTTGTTTTTTTGAGACAGGGTCTCACTGTGTAGTTGAGACTGACCTGGAACTCACTATGTAGCCCAGGCTGGTGTCGAGCTCACAGTGATCCTCCTGCCTCAGCCTTCTGAGTGCTGGGATTACAGGCGTGCGCCACCATACCCGGTGCTATATAGTTGATATATGGGAGTGGCCTTGTTTTTTTGGTTTTTTTTTGTTTTTTTTGGAATATATGGTAAAAATAAGTTAAAAGATTTCCCTGTAAAAAAACAGAGATAAAATGCAGTATTCTGATAAAATAGTAAATCACAGTATTTTTTGGATTCATCTATATTTTGGGTAAAATGAAAGTGTAAAAGTATATAAAAGTATAAAACACATTCTTTTGATGTGTTCAGTAATATACTCTCTTGGACAGGATTAGACACATATCAACTTCACATTGACTATATTGGAAATTTGTAAGGCTCCAGGTAGTTTCCTTCAAGTTTTTTCTTAATTCCAATGGAGCCTTTATTTACTACCTTATTCATTTTTAATACCTTGGTAGGAGAGGAACAGTTTGTAGAAGTATTTGTTCATGAAATTCAAGATGTGTATTCCATGAGAAGTAACAGCCTACAAACAGTACGTTCTTACCCTACAGTTTTCAGTGATAAGTTTTGTTTTGTTTTCCATTTCTTTACTTCTCACAAGAATTGCAGCTGCATCTTTGGGATCCTTGTACAATGAGGACGTTCATTGCAACTGAACATTGTGATCCGGGAATTGTAGTTTTATTTTTACAGTTTAAAAACCCTTGCTACAGATGTAGGCATTGGGCATTGCAAGGGTTTCTTCCATAAAGACATTCTTGGGTCTTCAGTTTTAAGAGTTCTGTCAATGGTATCCTTGGATTTAAACTGTAAACTCATTTATGTCTAAAGATACATATTTTAAGGCCATTTCATATGTAACATATATATTTTTTTGTTTTTTCAGCCGTGTGGTTTTGCCATGTTCTGTTCAGGAGGTAAGTCTTCTGCAACATTGGTATAATTTATTTTGATATGGCCATCTGAACATGTCTGTGTAGTAGTATTTTTTTCAACACATCACAGGTAATGACAAATGAATTTGTTATTTTGCTTTGTTTTGGAAGAGCTTAAAGAATATTATTTAACCAGTGCAAGATCTTATTCTGTACCATCCTAGAGAAATGAGAGTCCAGCCTAAACTTCAGCACCTTTTCAGCTGATTAAGGAAGCAATTTCCTATATTGTAGGTAGTGTGTGTGTATGTGTGTGTGTGTGTGTGTGTGTGT